TAATGAAATAGTACGACTACAAAAAAAAAAAAAAAGAAAAGAGAGAGAGAGAGAGAAAAAATTGAATCAAATTGAATTGAATAATTTCAAATTTATAAGATATATTCTAATACGTTGAATTATGTTGCATACGAATAATTTTTGAATCTGTTTTCAATTTGTAATAATGAATGTGTTCAAAATTATACATAAATATAAATATTGAAAAAAAAAAGAAAATTTCAGACAAAAGTTTCGAATCAATTTGTTCCCCTATCGTAATCAATTTTTTTTGAAGTATGATAGTTAGATAAGAAAAGAATCGAATATCAAAATATCATTTCCAATTAGTTAATATTATATTAATAAAGATATATTTTAATATAATATAAAGAAGAAATAATGTGATTAAAAAAAAAATGTGTTTGATAACTGCATAAAAAGATTCGGAATAATTTAAATTTTTTTTTCATTTATAAAAATTAAAGATAAATTTGAATATCCCAGAAAGATAAGTTAGAAAATAAGCTAGAAAATGAGATTAGAACGTTGGCTGGTTTTTTAACGCAAGAGATGATATATTGACAAGATATAAGGGAAATAAATGAGACGAATTACTCCTCCGATACAGAAATAAATGAAACCAAGTGAATGAAACAATTTCAATAATAAGAACAAGAGTATAATATGACTTCGGAATCGATCAATCGACATCGTTGACAGTTGAAAAATTATCATTGAAAAGATAAAATAAGAGAGTTAATAAAATCGAATCCGCTCTTTTCCGATTTTGATGATATTCTCTTTGAGGATATCTCGATCGGATTGATAAAATGGAACAAAATCGTCAGTTGCTTTGTGTATTACAACCAATGTCGAAATCAGATTATATATGTAATCTCGACAAGTATAAGTATTCAATTATGATACTTAAACATCTTGCGATCATTTCTAAATTTACGAGATCCTCGTTTTTTTTTTTTTTCAAGATGATATCTTCAACGCTGTGACGAAGAACAAGCGTGTTACGTTACTCACACTGAATATTGACAAAACTGGAAAAAATATTATATATCGATGAATCTAAGTTTAAAACGGAAAAGGATCGTTCGACAAATGGACTTGATCAAGGACAAAAATACCCGCTTACCGGGGATATTGTGATAAGAATAAAACGCAAACATATTAAGATATCGGAGGAAGGCAGGAAGCGAGAAAGGAAAGAAGAAAAAAAAAAAAGGAAGAGAAAGATCCTGAATACGGTGACATTAGACATTATTTACACTTATTACAAAAAAGTTTCGATATTAAAAATATGAAGATCTTAGCAATCTTATTCGTTTTCTCTTAATTTGAAACAGTATAAAAAATTATGAGTCTATCGAGATGAACAAATTAAGTTAAAAAAAAAAATATTCCAAATTGAAGAAAATTTCGTGAATTTCTAGAAATAAAATTAATCCCGAGAAGATTATGAGGGGGGGAGAGAGAAGAAAAAAAAAAAAAAATCCATATTACGATTATTACTAGATTTGTGGACGCAATTATAAGAATACGCAGTTGATATACCGATATATGAGACGATAATATAATTATTTATTATTATTGGCGAGAAATATTTAAGGAATTATCGGTAAAATATATTCTCTCTAATACGGTACAAAATAGAGTACATAAAATTTAGTGAAATTTCAGTATTCGATGATTTCATAACTTTTTACAAGTATTTATTACAATTGAATGTCCTAATACTTTTGAGTGGCAGTGTATGTTCACTTCTTTTTAAACACGCACACACACTCTTATATAACTGTGCAATGTCTTTTAACCATTGATATTTATAATCTGTCTTATAATCTAAAAGGGCATCGGTCCCTTGGTTGCAACAACAACGCTAAGTTGCACTTTTTCTATCTTAACTGCACTAAATTGGTATTACATTTTGTTTGTTCGCTTCTGTAAAACTTGAGCTCGTTTTTTTTCCTTTCTTTTCTTTTTCTTTTTTTTTTTTTTTTTTTTTTTTTTTTCTTTCTTTTCTCTCTTTACATCACAAATACACCAGCTTATTCCTCGAAGAAACTTTCTCATTCGTTTTCTCGATACAAAACAAAATTGTTATTTCTTCCATCCAATTAATTTTCCTCTTACATTTACAAAGAATAATTGACACGTGGAAGAACACTTTCATCCTTTCTTCTTCATCATTCTTTCACTTGGCAGAGTTCGATATAAAATTGTTTCACGTGGCAGGAAATAATTAGAACTTGATCCTCGTTCGAGTTCGTTTAAAACATTATGTTCTTGTTCGATTGTTCGGTTTTCGTTTGCGACAATATATCTAATACAGAATTCTCCTCGCCACCGGCTAGCATTCGAACGTCTCTATCCGGATCCGATCTCATCTCTCTGAGTCTTTTCTCTACTTCCTCCGCCTGTTCGACTCCCAACCATTCTGCTAAATGTCAAAGTACGTACAATTTTACGGTCAATTACCGTTTAAAAAAAGCGTGTGATTTATTATATTGCATCGTGATATATAATTATTATAAAAAAAAAAAAAGAAAAAAAAATAAATAAATAAATAAATACTTACATCCCATAGGAATAACGTTCTTCGATAAAGTTCTCGCTACAACTAATCTCACGTTTGGTACTTTGTCGGTGGATAATTTTAACAAATTAGGTAACATTTCCTGGGAAAATCTATCCCCACTGATAGCGTTGCTGGATATTAATTTGGCGCATACAAAAGCGAACGTTTGCCTTCTGATCCATTTTTTTGCATATACAAGGGAAAATCTAAGCTCTTGAAATAGGGCCGTTACGTGACGTTCGTTGTCAGACAGATGAGCTACTATTTGCGTAACCTGTACAAAAAAGTAAATACATCGGTATATCGCATAACGCGTTATTACACAACGAATCCAAAGTGTCAAGTTGTTTCGTGAGAGGAAAAATTTAAGAGAGGGAAAAAAATATGAAAGCGTACCAAAGAAAGCGCAACGTATCTCACAGCAGCAACTTTGTCGCGCAATAACTCGAGAGACAATGATACTATGTGCCGTTCTACGTCCGCGGGATTAAACAGATTCACAACTTCTAACAATTGAGTAGCCAACTCTTCTCGAAATCTCCAATTCCACTCGGTATCGGTGGAAAGGAATTCCTTCAGTCTTGGCAAATATTGGCGGCGATCGGTCGGTTTGAGTATTTTCAAAAATGTCGCTAGATGCTTGAGCACACCTATTCTCACCTCGTCTAGATCTTTGATAAATCCATCGTAGATCGGAACAAGATCAGTGACGGTAAGTTCCTCTCCAAGAATAATAGCGATTTCATGGATACTGGAGGCTAGCGTGCGTCTCACTTTCCATTGATTGGCACTTGCCAACGATTGGTAAGCTTGCTTCAAATATGGCCAATTTTCTTTCCCTAACGTGAGCACAACCGCGGGAAAGCTAAAAGCGCAATGATGAGGAATATCCGTGCCCATGTCCGAACATTGTTCTGGCTCAGCCATCGACAAGAACGAATCGATCAAATGCTGAGGAACGATCTCTTGATCGTTGAAATTGATAACATCGAATTTGTCCGTCGAATATTTGTCCTCTTTTAACATGTTATCTAACAACGATGCTTTGCTAGAGGCTGTAACACCGATCAACGGCTGTTTCCGATTTACATTATTTTGCGCCGCGGATTTTTTCGCAGCTTCGACAAGTTCGTCGTCCAATGGAAGATCCGGTGCTATGTAATAGTACAGGAATGGGTTGAAATTTTCCGTGTCGTCCAATGTATTTTGATCATCTTTGTCATTTTTTAGATGCTTTCTCTGTATCTGAAATAAATAAATTATTTACCAAATAATTGTCGAGTCTCGTCTGAAATAAATTTGATGAATTAAACGAGCAAACGAAAGAATCGATCTTTCGCTTCTTGATTCGCCATTGAGAGAAATGACTATTCTCGAGAGGGAAATGGGAAGAGGGAGGGGGACGAATTAAACTCGTGAACCATCGCGTCGGTTCGTTACTTACGGACACGTCGTACCTTCGATTTATAAGCTCTCATTCTTGAAATATGATCTTCCTGAGACTCGTCCTCGTCATCGTCTTCTTCGAAAATTGGTTTTTGTATTATCACAGATAAATTGAAGTTATCCTTAGAATTATGATCCTCCGCGTCGAGCGTATGACTCCGTATCGCGCATTTAGTGGGAAATATCCCTTCGTACAAATACCTTATACTGTAATAAAATCAGAATCGATATATTTTTTTCTTTTTACAAAAAAAAAAAAAAAGAAAGAAGAAGACAATCAGGGGATCATAAAATAAATAGATGGGATGAAAAATGAATCGGAGGATAAGATTGGAAAAAGAAATAAAGCGGAATAGAACGATAGAATAGATGAAATAATGGATAAAAAGAAGTTGCATCTTTTTATACCTGAAACGAGTATCTTGTTGACTGGTAAATACCAATTCACCGTGTTGATTATAAGTTACTTCGGTAAATTGTTTCGCGAACGTGGATATAAATGGTCCTAAAATTTGAAAGGCAGACATTCGCACCCATTTCGAATCGTCGTTAAGATGCGTGGCAAGAAGATCTGCCAATAATAATCGACGGTGTTGAAGAGTCATACAGCACGAAACTGGCATCATAACGTCCACGCACGCTTTTCGGACACCCCACACTGTATCGCAACACAGATCGACAAATACCGGGAACTGTGAGAGAGTAAAAAAAAAAAAAGTATTAAGAATCTGTTTGAAAAGAATATATCAATTTGAGATATCAATTTTGAAAAAAAAAAAAAGGGAGAAGTACCTACCAATTTTCGGAAAAGGGTTTTCCTCCCGACAGCGGAGCAAAGTTTGCCAAAGTGCGACGCGCAGATTTTTCTCGTATAAAATTCTTTGTCTTTGCAGAGAGCGATATATCTATCCAGAAAAATCTTTTCCGTCATCTCTTTGCCAATGAGCGGCGCCATCTTGCACATGAGCTGTGAATCGACATAATCGTGTATCTTTTAGGAAATCGTGAAAACGGATGTTTTATATACGTACATATATAAGGAAACGTGATTTAACAAAGAAAAGAAAAATTGGTAAAATGGATAAAATTGAAAGGAGGGAAAAACACAAAGTGGAGATATTATACGATATGGATAAATTCATACACTCGCGCGACTTTTCTAATAAAGTCGTTTTTTCTCTCCATCCTTTGTAATTTTTAATTTCGAAGAGAGAAAACACGTCTACCGTTGCCGTTTCAATCTCTTGACGAAGATATAAATCGCACCGTTCCGCTCATCAAAGCTGGCTGTGATACGAGTCCAAGTTACCACATCACAACCACTCTGATGGGAGGAACAGTCGAATTTTCGGTGGATATATAATATAAAAAAAAAAANAAAAAGAAAATAGAACCTGGAAAAGAAGAAACGGCTAATAACAGATAAAAGTTGGCTTGAATCGAACGAGTTCGGCACACAATTGCGAAAGATCGATCGTTTCGCGACGATTCTCGACGAATATTTCCTTCATATACCCGCATCCGTACGAATCAGAAGGTCATTGTTCGACGACCATACGAATTGGACTCAGAGGTGAATCATTCTATCGTTATTCGACAACATGCCGTTTCATCCCGTACTTTATTCTTCCCCGTGTCCGTCTACTATTCATAAATTGGAACGATCGAATAATATTAACTCCCGTTTAAAAATCTTTGGAACGAACGTTTTAAAATAATCGTCGCGATATCCTACATGTATCTCGAGCGCAAGTTATATCGTTTGACGAACGTTTGAAGAAACAGAAAAAAAAGAAAAAGAAAAAAAATAAGATAAGATATAATCTTATAGGAACGAACGCGTAAGGAAGTGACGTTGAGATCGGTGTTCAATAAACGCGATCACGTCCTTCACGGATCCTGCGAATCCATGAGAGGAAGTCGACTATGAAAGAGTCTTTCCCGAAATTGGAAACTGTGCGCGAAGACTCGCTTCTCCCGTATCGGGACGGGACTCGATCGGAAATGTTTTTCTTTAAAATGACTCGCGATGGAACGATGTATTTCGCGGGAAAACGATCGCACGCCGCCTAGAATAGAAGAACGAGCGAAAAACGATCGAGAATGGATCTAGGAGCGTAAAGGAGGGAGGGGGGGTGGGAAGGGGGCAACGTTACAATCGGTTTTACAGAAAACCGAGCCTAACTTAACTTCACTTAACGGAACGAAAGGATGAGAATTCGATGAGAATCGATGATAATCGTTGATTCAACGCGACGCCACGCTCATCAAAGCTGGCTGTGATATGAACGCTTGTATCAGCATATCACAACCACTTTGTGAGCGGTGCACACGCGCCATCTTTCCATTTTTCGAACACAAGTTTCCTCGCAAAAATTGGGATTTCAGTCCCAATTTTCGATATCCCGATAACGGAATCGACGGATCGATTGGCGTCTCCATAGAGATAGAGGAGACACGGATTCGTTGCGAAAAAACGGCGATCCAAATCGTCAAAAATGGCTGTGATATGAAATCTAGAAAAGCAACACGCCACAACCAATTTGACGATTGGATCGCGTTGCGCTCTCGTTCTCCTCGATCGTGCCCTCCATCTTCCGCCTCCACCTCTACCACCACCACCACCTCTTCCGATGATTGTGCGAAAAGACGACACGCTTGAACGAAGAAAAATAAAAAAAAAGTAAGAAGCGGGCGATTAAGAACAGAAGCGAAGATTACGCGTTGTCCGGTGTTCATCGAGCGTCATACAACGGTTGATTATTAATCAAGCGGGCATTAAGCATATTCGAGCGAAGCGATACACCAACACACACGGTCCTTGACGATCGATTCTGCGGGCCAAGCTCATCAAAATGGCTGTGATATGACTCGAAACATTCCACAACCAATTTGATGTATCGGACCGCAAAAGGTATTTTCATTTCGGTGCTGTATACTCGATACAAGATACGTTCGTCTCTATCTCTCTCTCTCTCTCTCCCCAATCCGTCCAATCTCTCCCTTTTCGCTTGGTTCCTCCGTTGCGGATCGCACACATTTTCCATTCTTCCAAAGATACGTGTGCTCTCATCCTTCTCTCTGCTAATTATTATTATACACGTCTCTCTTTTCGTTTTCTCTCGCGTGTGTCGTAGACGGACACAATTTTGCTCATCAAAGCTGGCTGTGATAGTCGATCTCTATGACAAACCAACTTTGATGGTAAAAGCATGTCCTTATCCGGGGATATTTTGCCCTCCCCCCCCTCCCCCTCCTCTCTCTCTCTCTCTCTCTCTCTCTCTTTCTTTTTTTATATATATATATATATA